TTGATGTAAGTCAGTATGCTGCAGTTGCTAAATATAAACAGCTTTTATTTATTATTGCTATTATTTATCTTGTTTTCCGTACTGAGTACCAACGATGCCAGATATACAGACTTTTGTACACGATAAAGGTGCGGACACGATTTTTCTAATCTCATTAGATACAAAAATAGTGACATATATTAACTAGTTATTGCATTAATTGTAGCTTCACGAAATACTTCATTTGATATTTTTTTAATAAAATTAAAAAAGGGTGACCACTTTTTTCGTGTACAGAAGTCTGTATATATGGCATCATTTTTGAGTACCAATGCTAACGACGCCAGGCAGGCAGCTCCCACACCTGGACCCTACTTATCGACCTATCAACTCATGAACCGGGAACCTACGGATTTACTTCCCTTCCGAAGGATGGCGAGATCAGTGATTTTATGCCTCAGACAGTCGATCTTGAAAATCCTGAAATTCAATTGCAATTCTGTTGTAAAAAGAAAACAAAACATAAAAATAATCACCATATTATTATTGAATCAATAAACATATTTTTATTTCAACTGCGTGAATTGGGTTGTTTAGGGGTATTGAGGTCCAAATTCAAAATTTCACCAATTTCGGTACACTGGAACTATTTTAAATAAGTACGATTACATTAACATTAGCAGTGCCCCTTGGTGGGACTTTGTATGGGAGAGAGCTGTCAACGAATAGATTAAGTGTCAACGATCAAAAATTTAAATCTTGATTTAAAAATCGTGTGGATGTCTACGGGACCGATAAAAATATCGTGTTCAGAAAATGAAGCTCTATCAGATGTTTATAAAAATCTGTATATTTTTTGAAGTTAAACAACCCAATTGTTACTTCATAAAATAAATATCAGTCCCAACATTTCAAAGGGGCGTAATTGCATTTGTAAACAAAGGCTTTAACAGTCGATTTCTCGCGAATAAAAGCTCACTAATGAAAAATAATGACACCCGCAGATAGAGGAATGTTTCCTCTACCAGCTAGCTTTGTAATTTTGGAGAGACATTGACGTCTAAAGTCATTTTCATTATGTCGTAAGTAGCATTCGCATCAATCCGAGAATAATAAAGTTTTGTTTTGATGACCGAAAAGTTATTGCTATTTTCAATTAAACTCGTATAATCTCATAGTGATAGCAATGTTTAACATATATAGCAGGGTTTATACATCATACAAATGCAATTCGCTAGCTTTCATGTTAAAACTGGTTTTTAAGTCAAAAGTTATTATACGTCGTTTGGTGGCCCCTATTGTTACTTAAGTCAAAGTGTATTTACCAGGATATTCGGGAGAATTATCAATTACGTCTCCTTACGTGCAGCCCAGTCATCATTTTAGGACCACCGAAATCATCTTAGCAACAAACAGTTCGATTTATTCACTTTAATAATGAGAAAGCGAAACGACGAACGTACACTTTTCACGGGTTTCTCAGCGCTGTTACTTAAGTCAAACGGCATCTCCATAGAAATCGGGTGACTTAAGTAACATCGAAAACTATTTTGATCGGAAGGTGATTATGTCAAAAAGCAATTTGACTGGTAAATAAATTTTAAAATGGGATGTGATCCTATATTCGGACAGTATATAGTGTAATAGCAGGAGCATCGATTGACACTGATAGCTCGACTTTGTTTACCTTTGTTACTTTCGACGTAATGAAAATTTGCTCTTGTTTTGTTGTTGACCCAGCTGCCAAATTTGACAGCTTATGTCAAAACCATGAAAGCTCTTGTAAATTCGAAAAGATTTTCTTTTTGATTCAACAATCCGGATTTAAGGAACAAAAATACTGAATTGTTGAAACAATAATGATTTCTTTTTGCAGCCAAAACAAAATGAAATTCTTATTGATTTTACGTCAATTATTATTACGTTTAAAATATTTTTTCTGTGTGCATATGGGACTGATAGATTCCAAACTCACTTTTGTATAACATTATAATACAATCATAACGAAATTAAATAGTATGTTCGGCTTCATTACGAAGTTCAGCTATAACTTTCAAGACCCATACACTATCAAATTATTATATATTGAATACGTAAGACCTATTCTGCAATACTGTAACCTAGTATGGAATCCGTACATTGCCATACACGAGGATCGCATAGAATCCGTCCAAAAACAATTCCTTTTATATGCCCTTCGCAAAATGAATTGGACCGCACCTCTTCCATCATATGAAGCACGCTTGATGAGCATACTTACAAACACTCAAAGAACGCCGCGAATTTGCAATGCTTTTCTTCATCAATGACATTATTTCACATCGCATAGAATCATCAGAATAATTACTTTTACAATTAAACTTCTACACACCCTGTCGGCATCTAAGAACACGAAAATTATTCTCAGAAAAATCACACAGAACAAATTACGCAAAAAATGGCCCCTTCAATCGAATGATGCGACAGTATAATCTACACTGTGAAGTCATTAGCATCACTATGTCAAAAGAAGGCATTAAAACCAAACTAAAACATAATAGAAATAATGCATAGTATATAAATAAAACATTGTAGCCATTGTATGTAGTCTACTTTGCATTGTCAAATCAAAGTTGGTACTCGTGGAGAATAGAAGAACTATGAGAATGATGATGGCTTAAAAATTTTACACGGTGAGGTATACGAGTGCAATCTTAAAATGCTTTTATTTTGCAAATGGAGCATTTTATTTAAATCTGGTTGACGCTATGTTAATAGAAAACTTAAGGACTACTCAATAGACATATAATATAGAAACATTAATTTCTTTTCAGATTTTTACTCGGATTTTTAGGTGTACACATAGATTTGAGCTTTTCTGCCACTGTAGCAGCAACCAGATTTAAATAAAATGCTCCATTTGCAAAATAAAAGCATTTTAAGATTGCACTCGTACACGGCGAATGAGAACGACTCAAATTTGAGTTTAGTTCACTCATAATCGCCAAAAGTGCAGGAACTCAGCGATGAGTAAATTTGCCTCATTTTTTCCAAGGTTTTTCCAGGATTTTCCAGGGACAAAATCCCGGCAGATTTTTTAGGTTTTCCACAGGAAACCTTGAGACAAATTTTACTCATCGCTGAGTTCCTGCACTTTTGGCGATTATGAGTGAACTAAACTCAAATTTGAGTCGTTCTCATTCGCCGTGTATACTTCCCCGTGGAAAATTTTGAAACCATCATCACTTTCATAGTTCATCTATTCTCCACGAGTGCGAACTTTGATTTGCCAATAGAGCGTGTCATAATAAAATTTTAAATGTATCAATCACGTTCCAGGTTTACAACAAAGGGGCTGGGGGGTCAAGAATAAAAAAAAAACTGTCTACCTATGGATAGAAATCTCCTTATACATTTTGGCAAATTTCTATTGCTGATTATTCATAAAATGTATATAAGTCAACTAATTAGTAGACGCCTTGCAAAAAGTTAATAAAGATCATGTCTGTGTCAAATGAAATGTATAAGAGGTCACACATACCATTTATGCATTCTTATAGGACCTACACAGAAAAAAAAAGTTGTTGAATATTACATCCAAACTGCTGCAACCAGGTCAATCCATCGGTTGTGTAATACACTGGAGTCGCTTTTTACGCGGTTTTTTTTTACACGGTTTTTTTTTACGCGGTTTTTTTTACGCGGATTTCGGAATTTACGCGGTTTTTTTTTACGCGGATTCCGGAATTTACGCGGTTTTTTTTTACGCGGATTTTGGTTTTTTTTACGCGGATTTCAGAATTTACGCGGTATCGCTTTTTACGCGGTTTTTTCTTACACGGTCTTTTTTTACTCGGTGTTTTTTACGCGGATTTCGGAATTTACGCGGTTTTTTTTACGCGGATTTCGGAATTTACGCGGTTTTTTTTACGCGGTTTTTTTTTACGCGGGACGTATCACCCGCGTAAAAAGCGACTCCAGTGTATTGGCAAATCAAAGTTGGCACTCGTGGAGAATAGAAGAACTATGAGAGTGATGATGGTTTCAAAATTTTACGCGGTGAGGTATACGAGTGCAATCTTAAAAAGCTTTTATTTTGCAAATGGAACATTTTATTTAAATCTGGTTGATGCTATGTTAGTAGAAAACTTAAGGACTACTCAATAGACAAATAATACAGAAAAATTAATTTCTTTTCAGATTTTTAGGTGTACACATAGATTTCAGCTTTTCTACCACTGTAGCAGCAACCAGATTTAAATAAAATGTTCCATTTGCAAAATAAAAGCATTTTAAGATTGCATTCGTATACTTCCCCGTGGAAAATTTTGAAACCATCATCACTGTTATAGTTCTTCTATTCTCCACGAGTGCCAACTTTGATTTGCCAATAACGTTGTACGATGTACATCGATTTTGCGAACAAAATTACATCCATTGATGTAATATTGTATCTGCTTTTTGTTATTGCATCATTATTTCATACATCAGCTTGAACTACATTTATCGGTATTACATTTTTTTGCTGTGTATGTGGTTTGTCACAGAATAAGGCCGATGTTTTGGCAAAAATGTATAAGTGAAACACATGAATAAAATAATTGATTTTCGTTTCGTGTATAGTTAATGAACAGTCCCAAAGTTAAAAAAAATCGCCAAAATGTATACTGCTCGTGTAACATACGTTTCAGTGCCAACATTTCAAAGGAGCGTAATTGCATTTGTAAACAATGACTTTCGTCGTCGATTTCTCGCGAATTAAAGCTCACTCATAGAAAAGAATGACACCAGCAGGTAGATGAATGTTTCTTGTCCTAGATAGCATTGGTAATTTGGAGGTATGGGCTTTTATTTGCGAGAAATCGACGACTAAAGCTATTGTTTACAAAAGCAATTACGCCCCTTTGAAATGTTGGCACTGATTTTACTGAAATATTTCAAAGCTACGTTTACGCCCTTTATGCTATCGAATGCCATAAATCTCAAACGTCGAACGCCATCAGAGATTCGCCACAAACTTCAAACTCCGCCAGCAGCTCGCCGCCGGATCGGTTTTGTTTTTCTTCGGTCAAAGTTTTGGTCACTCTTACCTTTTGGCCATTGGAATAAAATTCCTCGCAGTTTTATCCAAACGTAAAAGTAAACCAAATTTTCTTCCGCCAAGGGAGTATGTCCAATCTAGAGCGCGTCATGATGAAGTCCCGTCTGCCGCCAATGTGTCCGAATCCGAAGTTTCCAAAACCTTCGTAAGCCGCAATTGCAATTCTATATACCTATGCTGCTTTAAAATGGTGACCTTGATTTTAAATTTATGTTTTTGTTTATTTGCAGCGATCGCGGGTTTCGCCGGCAAACCGACTACAATCCAATCATGTGGAGCGAGTACTTTGCCGAAAGCCGGGATGTTGAAACGCAACGGGGCAAGTTTCGGGTTTACCTGACGAGCAAGCCGAAAGCTCCCGGTCCGTTGCTGGTGATGCTCCATGGAGGTGGCTTTTCGGCTTTATCATGGGCACACTTTAGTGTAAGTACACATTTAGTAGACGATTGAATTTGTGTTTGTCCATTTCATAAATGGTGTTCAATAGATGGAGATCTCGAAAATCATCCACTGTCAGTGCTTGGCCATCGATATTAGAGGACATGGTGACACCATAACGGAACAGGAAGACGATCTCTCAGCGGAAACTTTAGCACAGTAAGTTGCTTCGTCAACATCCCGATCAATCATATATGTATCGTTGTAAATAATCTAGAGATGTTGCTGATGTTCTTGTGACGATGTACGGAGATTCGGCGCCCCCGGTGATTCTGATTGGTCACTCGATGGGAGGAGCAATTTGTGTTCATGTTGCAAATATGGACGTCATTATTAGTCTGATTGGAGTGGTAGTTATCGACGTTGTCGAGGGAACCGCACTAGAAGCGCTGGCCAGTATGCAAAGCTTCTTAAGATCTAGGCCAAGCGCCTTCAAAAGCATTCAACATGCCGTAGAGTGGAGTGTTCGAAGCGGACAAATTCGGAATATAGAATCTGCACGTGTTTCAATGCCAGGGCAAATTGTGAAGTATATGACTTACACTTCATAAATCAACACATACCAAATGAACTATTTTTTTTTTCAGCATTGAAACTGGAAAACTTTCTACCAACGAACTTCCTCTGGCCGAGGAATCCCTCGAAGCACAAACGAAGTTTGCGAATCCGAACGCTATAGCGGAAGATGTTGAGCTACCCTCCCCTGCTGCTCACACTTCCGTTGATACTGAAGCTGATGCGGCTACTAGCCCTCCCATCAATCTCAAAAAGTATACCTGGCGTATCGATTTGTCCAAATCGGAAAAGTACTGGGAAGGATGGTTCCAAGGTCTCAGTCAGAAGTTCTTGGACGTAAAAGTTCCGAAGCTTTTGCTTCTGGCGGGAATCGACAATCTAGACCGTGCTCTCACCGTTGGTCAGATGCAGGGTAGGGAATACGATTTCCTTAAGCAAATGAACCCTGTAATCCTAAGAAACACCTTTCACCCATAGGTAAATTCCAACTGCAAGTGTTGGCCCGATGCGGTCATGCGGTTCACGAAGACAGGCCCCACGAGGTAGCCGAAGTAATTGGAACGTACTTACTTAGGAATAAGTTTGCCGAAGCATCCGGTGAGGGACAATTTTTGAAGCATATGCCTGCCTGTTGAATGTACTCGGTAAGACCATGGATATGTACCTACAATTGTTAGGGCCTTCTCTGAGATGCAGCCGCACTAGTGCAGCTGTACCTACCCCTAGTGGAATGTTTAGTTTTTATATGAATCAATTTTTTTCCACTGATTTTCGTTTCCTATTTAATCAATATTTCGACTCGATCTAGGTATACACATTACATTAATTTATTTGCATCACAATGAAACGAAGTGTGTAATTTATCCGAACGTCCCGTGTACGCAAAAAAAATAAATGCAAAACAAAAACTGTTTTTAGTTCTACTTGGAGTTTTCATGAAAATTCCCTGCGCTTTGGTCAGATAGCGTATAGGGCGTCGTTGTGCCAATTTGGTAGTGGTACATTTCGAGTATGAGAGAGTGATTGCAGTTTGCTCAAAAGTGCCTGAGTAAAATGATTGTGCTACATTTCCCCGAATGTCACTTCCCCGAACGCCATTTCCCCGAAAAAAAAAGTTAGGAAATTTCCAACCCTTATTGCTGGCCATTTTCTTACTATAATTTGAGCATAGTGAGTAGATTGCAAACCAGATTAAATTTCAAACCATGCAAATGGAAGGTTTATGAGATTAACCCAACTACCAATTAATTTGCTTCGGGTAGCTAGAAACCCATTGCCAAAGCACAGGATGCTCACTATGCCCCTCTTTCCCCTATATTAATGTATTGAGCCGTTAAAAGCATTTTCATTTTTATATATAGAATAATAATCCATAGAAAATAACCTTAAAAAAGTGCTTAGTTCTCAGTACTCAGTTCCAACAATATGGGATAAGGTTGAACCATTTGTGGTGTTATAGGGTAGAGAACTACTTCGGCCTAACGGGCAGAAAACTTCAAATAAATCCATGATTTCAGAGTTAACAAGTCAATTATGCGTTTGGTACGATACTTTAGTTAATAAGCTACCGAACGAAGTCAATGAGAACGCGTGATATGAAGGTTTGCACCCATTATTCCCAAAAACAAAAGAAGCGCTCCGACCGAATCAATTTTTATCTTCATCCGATAGGCCGAAGTGAATTCATAGGCGTTTCAATGCGTTAGGCCGAGTTTAGAATCCGTAGGCCGAGTTTGGCGTCAAAAAGCTGTTTTAGACTTTTTACAATATCGCAACAATTAGTTTCTCTTTATCAAATCTTACGGTACGTACGGAAAGGTAAATAAATTTGAAAGTCATCAGTAATAATAACATTCCGTTTGATGCTAAACTGAGCTAGATTAAGAAATACTAAGTGCGGGTTGTGCTTAATAGGCCGGAAATGGGGTAGTTAACCCTATGTATACATATATGGTACTTTACTATTAGGGTTGACAAATTGATAATATATTTTTAGAATATTTACCTTTCATTTTTGAATTTATATCGAAAAATTTGGCAAAATATCGTCGGTTTGACAAATTGGTTATAAATTTTAAGGATATTTTGCCTTCCTTTATTTACGAGCAGTTCTTTCGAGAACTTTTGAAAAAAAAATGTGACATGTGAGATCGATGGTTTGACAAATTGGTAAAATATTTTTATTCCTACTTTTTTACATAAGCAGTTCTTTCGGGAAATTTAGCAAAACTTGTTTCGGAAATTATTGCAACCAAATTTCAACAGGTGACAGTAAAAAAACAGAAGTTATGGCGATTTGTTTTGTACGCAGAAAACCGGAAAATATTTTCGACAAAATCTAAATGAACCTCCCCTTAACCATATGAGCATAGAGTGCTTGTGGATGTGCTTGAAACTCTGGTACCTGTTAACTGTTTTCGGGACCGGCTAAAAAAATCAGGTCTATGATAAAGAAATAATCTAGATACGGCTGGAATTAGGGCATAACAGCTTTTGTAAATAATGACTTCTATCGATGATTTCTAGAAAGCCAAGGCAAGTGAAATATCTGGATCAACAATAGAATAGGGCCCATCAGCATTTATAAACAAACCGTTCCAAAGCCCTTTACTCACAAAGCGAAGGCCACCCACACAAACCAACACCATCATCGTGTAGGTAGAAGTTTCCCCTATCTGATGATGGTGTTGGTTTGCGTGGGTGGCCTTCGCTTTGTGAGTAAAGGGCTTTGGAACGGTTTGTTTACAAATGCTGATGGGCCCTTTTCTATTGTTGATCCAGGTATTTTGGGATAGTACTTGATACAACATTTTGTTTTAATATCACATTGAACAATCTTTTAATAGGGGAAATGGATGTAATGTCGGCCTAAATTTCCCTAATTTGGGCCTTTACATAAATTCAGCAATCGACTAAATTTTCAATAACGACCAAAAATATCCATTCTGGATCAACAATAGAAAAGGGCCCATCAGCATTTGTAAACAAACCGTTCCAAAGCCCATTCCTCACAAATCGAAGGCCGCCCACACAAAGCAACATCATCATCGTGTAGGTGGAAGTTTCCCCTATCTGATGATGGTGTTGGTTTGCGTGGGTGGCCTTCGCTTTGTGAGTAAAGGGCTTTGGAACGGTTTGTTTACAAATGCTGATGGGCCCTTTTCTATTATTGATCCAGCATTAGTACCGTCCCAATGACGCGTTCATGTGTGTGTGTGTCGTGTACACTATGATGGGTAACACACTCAACAGATGGTTTTAGTGTGTAAACGTCAAACGCTAAGGAATTGATTATGTGCACCACAAGTGTCAGTAGTACCAGCTAAGATACATATAAATTTACCGTTAAAACGATTTTGATGAAGAGTGTTATGTCTGCTTGTCTGTGATTATACCTTCACTATCGCAACTTCGGGTAATCTGCGAAAGTACTTGCATTTTTCTCAGACACTTTTGATCTAATTGCAATTACTCTCTCATACTCGAAATGTGCCACGACCAAATTGGCACAACGACGCCCTATACGCTCTCTGACCGAAGCGCAGGGCGTCCCAATGACGCGTTCATCTAGAAAAAAATGATAAATAGGTAGCGGATTTTTAGCGATGGGCCCAATCTTAGATCCATAGGCCAACGTTAGAGCCATTTCCCCTATTTAATAATATTTTAAGATCGGCCGTGCTTTACGCTATGCCAATTTGGTCTAGTTGTTGCACTAGATGAAAAAAAAAACACTTCAATTGTATTCAAAACAAAGTGCTAAAGATGAAGCTGCCTCCCTAGTACACTGCCCACAAAAGCATACCAGCATGATTTCCTATTCAAATTAAGTTGGTTTGCATTTATGGATAGTACAGAACCTTACAGAACTGCCTACCGAGGTGCATACAATTTTGAATGCTGAGACTTTAGAACAAATGTCCAATAAAACAATTAATTAATAATAAAGTCAAAAATCGTTCTTCATCTTCTTTAGCTTTATTACGTCCCTAGACCAGACTATTCCGAACCCAGTCGCCTCCAGTTTGTCAAGCAGTTTTGGCGTGATTTTCTTCCAGCGACTCTTCTCGTGGTTTTCGCACACTTTTCTCAAAAAATGTCAAAATATTGTTTTAGTACAAAGATCGAGTGTCATGCACTTATTACGTAAGATTTTAAAAATAATTTTTCTTACGTTTCCTTACAAGGGAGCATGCTTGGAATGCCCAGTTGTACACACCAACTGCTAATTTGTTAATAACTTTTCACTCAGTTGTTGAAATTTGTTTTTCTTTAACGTAATTGATAGATTAGGATCATAGCTTACTATAGATATGCAAAGAGTAGGTAAATCTTAACATTTGAATCAACATCAATGAATTTTTACGCCTCAAGTCCGAGATGTGCAGCGAGCATTTCTCACTTCATTTTTACAACGCAAAAACAAATACAGTTTACTACTAGAACTAAAATCTTCAAGCTTAAACTCTATCCTATCTACTACTTCAAAAAGAACTATGTTTCGTCAACTGTGTTCACATTTATTAGCAAATGAGCAGTTCGTGACCAAAACTGTGTATGCCAAGCATGCAAGGGAGGCAGGGAATCTCAGAAATACCTTACGAAATCATGAAGATACAGAACATGTTAGTGTTCGATGCTAGATCTTACTAAGGGAGAGCTGGGATAGAAAAATCCCTATTGAAATCTTACGTAATAAGTGCATGGTCCCTTATTCCACGAACAGCGACCGTTGTTACTAAGGACTTACTTAGGATTGCAAGTCGCATGGTGATGCAGCATAGCGTGTTTCAGTTCCAATTATGTGACAAAAAAGTCACCTCAGTCAAACACATTGTGGTTCATGATTATTCATCATTTCAGTGCCAACATTTCAAAGGGGCGTAATTGCATTTGTAAACAATGACTTTCGTCTTCGATTTCTTGCGAATGAAAGCTCACTGATGAAAATCACATCTATGACACAAACGTCATTCCCATATACTTTGCGTGAAGCCGAAAAATCCTGGTTCTCTGGTTCGATCGAACCAGAGAACCAGGATTTTTCGGCTTCACGCAAAGTATATGGGAATGACGTTTGTGTCATAGATGTGATGAAAATGAATGACATCAGCAGGTAGAAGAATGTTTCCTGTCCCAGCTAGCATTGGTAATTTGGAGGGGTGGGCTTTTATTTGCGAGAAATCGACGGCAAAAGCCATTGTTTATAAAAGCAATTACGCCCCTTTGAAATGTTGGCACTGATTTGTAACATTGCTGATGCACGACAGCGACACGACAGCCGAAACAGAAGTGCGTAAAATCGGTTTATTGCAGATGGCGCACCATAAAACAGTACTTGTTACATCCATGACAACGAATAGTCCATGGCAAATCACCGATAATTGACACGGGACCCTGGGTGCTGTATACAATTGGCCGTCTGATATATCTAGTTGGTATAACAAAACCGAAATGAAACTGTCAAAAATGATATGTCCTTCGTGTACGTCCATGCTTGGGTGTCGTGAACGATATGCCGTGCTTGATGTTTTATGAGAACGCGAACGAGGACGCTTGTATGTGAAAGGCGGCGCGAGTTGTCGGTTGCCAAGGGCGACGTTTTCAATTATGATGTCCGCTTTCTCCACCGAACTGTTTTCCATTGCAGAAGAACAATAACTTTCGATTGTGCAGTTCACAGGCTAGACATCTATCTGCCTAACGTATAATAATAATAGAACATAGAGCTAGGAAGTTGCTTATCCTGATTGGAGTTTGTAGTTGAACCTTAACGTGCTCATAAAATTCATTGCCTTTATTACAACTTGTGTATGTAGCCAATTTCAATATCGACATCAACAGAGGCGAGAGAAGCAGATTGTGATTCAAGGCACTTGTCCTTGAAGTGCGGTAGTTACACACATTCCCTTTAGCCAAGACCTATATGAAAGTGCTATCCATCACTTAGTAGCAATGGATTGGCCAAGCTCACGAGTCGCCAAGGGAGGGCTCTTCCATGCCCCCAAAACGAAGTACACGAAAGAAACTCAGGATCTTATTAAGGGTAAGTCCTTGGGACCGTTTGATTAGATGACCTCGTTCTAATTGTTTGCCTTTTGATTAGTTTTAATGGAGGAAGCAAAATTGACTATTCTGCAGCGGAACAAAATCAATTACCATCTGAGAACTGGGGAACCACTTCCGCCACCGAAGGAACCCAAGTTCGAACAGGACTACAGTAACTTTCTTCCGGTCGCGATCCCTAGGAAAAACATCAAGAAGCGGTCCTTGTCGACGATAATAGAAAGCGGTGCGTTCGATGTGGAAAAGTACGTGCCAAAGGACGGCAAGGAACCGGTGGAGAAGTCCAAATTGAAACTTCAGGAACGGATGGCGGGGTGCAAAATATTCCCCGATGACGGGCGGAAACGAGTTCAACGTAGCAAGAGCGATTCGGATGTGGACTACACCGAAACGGATCGGGAAGCGGAATGTAAGGTTGATTGTTCTTGTTGAACCTATTATGATTATGAATCTTTGTATTGTTTGTAGTGCTGGAGGAAATCAACGAACGCGTCGAATGGTTGTCTGAAATGGAAGCTCTCGGCGAGGGTAAGAAACATCGGCAGGTTATTCACGCTCAGATCGCTGAACGCCTCAACGAGCTCAAACGGCTGGAGCGAGAGCAATCGAAACAGGATTCAGTCGAGGAAAAGTAGTCAGTCCAATAATGAACTTCGGCATTTATCCTAGTAGTAGTCACACATTCGAATAAACCTTTCAGCTGTTTTAATGTATTCCAAAAAATAGTTTCACTTATGCTAGAGAAAATTACACAATGTTCCAAGCTTACGGTTGAGGAAAATGAATTCCCGTTCTTCCTCGTCGACCGGAGAAGCTGTGTGCCCAAATGCAATTCAACAATATTAGCAACCAGCAGCAGAGCATTCCTATCCTTGTGCCGCCTTGGCCTTGTTTTTCACTTTTTTGATCTTCTTCAGCCCATCAATGCTGGATTTTAGCACTTTCGAGTAGGATTCCATAAATTTGGCCACCTCGTCGTGCCGGACGACGGTCGACAGATTTTTCGAACGCGATCGGGCCCTAATCAGACACTGGTACTCGGCGGGTTTCGGCAGTGGCGCTTTGCCCTCTCGGGGCTGTGGTCGGTCGTGACCGTCATCTGGAAAATATGGAAATCAGAACATTAAGCAAATAGCATTTAAATTGCTTTGTACCCACAATTCAACAAGTTCCTATCTTCCAAATTGTATTAGGCTAAACGACACTTAAGGATCAGAAAAATGAAACAAATCCGGATTTATTTGATCTTTTAATAGAGCCCCACCTAACTTCATCTACCGTGAAGTGCGAAGTGAAGTTTCACACTGACTGTAAAAGGATCCTTTTTATGTGAAATGAGTTCGTTTAGAGAATTGTTGCTTTTTCAATTAGTAAATTGTTTCACCTGATTCCGTGAGGAAAAAGAGTTAATTTTAATTAAGCAGCGAAGCAGTTAGACAACGTGCGAAATAATTCTACTCTCCGCTTCAGTAGCGAAGACTTTCGATCTTTATAATCCTGTAATAGAAAATCAGTGGAGGCTAATTTAAAAAAGTATAGCGGTTATCTCCTGATTTTACAGCATAGGGTAAGGTGAGGCAAGATGGGTCAGTTAGTACATTTATTAGTTTATTTTTTGTTAATATCAACAGGTTCATTGAAACGCCAATGGTGTGATTTGCCCAACCAGCAGTGGACATTGGATTATATTGAGCCTGTTGATGTGTACAAACTAAAATATAAATAAATCGGGTAGATGTCCCATCTTGCCTCACCTTACCATACTATCTCTTCAGAGAACTTCTTCTAAGGCAAACTTTGCGGTCATCCAAGAATTATTTACAGAACATCCATCAACCCTAAAGGCACTTTCATTATCCCAGACAATTGTCTAGACTTAGTTCGCCTTAGGGCCTCACATATATTCTGGATGTCTTGATTTTTGTAAAAGTAAGAACTCAGTTTTCTCCATTTATCCTTTTATCAAATTAAGAGTTGCCCTATAGTTCTGATTCAATCAAGCACCGTGCCTTTGTATGATCGATAAGCGTTGCTAAAACATCTAACAGGTTGCCATGTGAAGATCTTATTAGAAAGAATCCACTGAAGTATTTTCATAGCTACTACGGAGTATTTTCAACATTATGCTAAAAACTTTTAAGCTTAAACTTCACTTTTAGCCACTTAACAAAACCTAGAAACTTACATCGTTTGATCGTCACTGTGAAGGAGGAATCGCTCCGGGCCGATTGGGATAGCAGTGTGAGTTGTGTCAGGAACTAAAATTTAGAGAAACACGATTAGGTACAACTTTCATCTACCGCAGACTCTATTTTTTACTTACTTCATCGTTACTTAACAGTACCATCCTTTTGACCTACACTATTAGCTATGTCCCCGGGGTAATACTAGTAATTACAGCACTATTCCAGACCACGAAACAGAGGCTTTCGAAACTTTTGTCCTGAAAAATGATGAACGTAGCGAAAGAAAACGAGAGCCAGAGATCGATTTGTATTATTTTGACAAGCTTGGCGGAGATACTCAGCGTTTGACAGCTTCGAGTTTACGTGTCAGTGGCACGCGGCGAAGTGGACGCGGTGGGTTTAAACAGCATTTTCTTTAAGTAAAATCTGTTTTTTTTTGTTCCATCAGCGCCAATCTTTTTTTTACATCCCCACGCAAAAAAAAAATTATCGTCAAAACAAAAATCTTTGAGGTAAATTTAAACGTACACTCAGTTTGTTCTGGCCTTAAACATAAACTAGGTTGATTTGAAAGGTATTCTACGTTAGAAGTCATTAATATCAATGTTAAAAAAAAATATATATATATATATGTGTTGAAAATAAACGTGAATTGTTTTGTTTTATTTGACGACTACCCGCATAAACGCGAACCATAAATTGACCTTACCCAAAATGGTTAAAAATTGTTTATAATCCCTGCTAAACTTTAACTGAAATGGTTATGGAACTTTACATGAACGTTTAATGATAAAGTTTCAACCTTATGTATTATGGTTTTTTGGAACTGGACCTTACAAATAATGGGTTGTTAAGAACCATTACCATTCCAAATTCTTGTTTTCTCCATACATTTTCAGAAAGAGAACTATATAAGAACGTTTTTAGTTATGATTTGAGAACATTAATGGTAATGGTTATGGTAGTCAGTAAGGTCCATTAATGGTTTTGTATTATCGCTCAACTTTACGTGGAATATATCGTGAATTGGTAATCAGTAAATTACAGGCAACCAATTCGCGATATATTCCACATAAAGTTGATCGATGTTACAAAACCATTCGTGGACCTTACTGACTACCATAACCATTACCATTAAAGTTCTCAAACCATAAGTTAAAAGGTTCTAATATAGTTCTCTTTCCGAAAATGTATGGAGAAAACAAGAATTTGGAACGGTAATGGTTCTTAACAACCCATTATTTGTAAGGTCCAGTTCCAAAAAACCATAATACATAAGGTTGAAACTTTATCATTAAACGTTCATGTAAAGTTCCATAACCATTTCAGTTTAGCAGGGATTATAAACAATTTTTAACCATTTTGGGTAAGGTCAATTTATGGTTCGCGTTTATGCGGGTAGATGCATACACTGGGCCGTATGAATAAAAAGAGTTTACTTTACTTTCCCGTGCTTTTCTTACGGGAAAAGTAAAGTAAACGCTTTTATTCATACGACCTACTGAGTATAATCACAAACGCAGTGACAGACGACTAACTGGCGAAGAAATCCATTTAAATAATGTGGTTCACTGTAATAGAATTTTCTTGGAAGCTTGTGCCATCATCCACCAGATGGGTTAGTTTTTTTGTTTTGATTTGAACAAAGTTGATTTTGTGTACAATGATTCTTTGACAGTGTGCAAAGAGTGCACATCATTTTGTCATTTTTTTATGCATTTCAGTTTTGAGTAGAGTGAAAGAGATAGAACCAAAACATTCTAGTACATTTGATGAAAATGCTAGTTCAATCTAGTAGTAGTGTTGCCATGTGGTACAATCCAGTAGTAGTGGTGTTGCCATGTGGTACACTGAAAAATTGCAATAGCAGGTTAGTCACCAAAGTTTTCGAGCCGCTCCGTCTGTCAGTCTGTCACTTCGTTTGTGGTATAATCATAGAGGTAACTCTAAGACCACTGGGTCCCGAAGAAAATCATTATTATTTTTGGCTCACTCAGTACCAGAACAACGGTCCCAAGCAGTCCCAAGCTATTTCACTCACCCCTGCATGTTCTGCATGAATCCACACACCCCTGATGTTATCTGTCAAACTTTCATAGCGAATCAAAACAAACATAGTGTAGTAATAGAATTTCAACTAGAATAGGTTCCGTTAATCGTTTGCTTGGGACCAATAAGCTACTAAAGTGGTGAGCCAATTTAAAATCGTTAGTTTCGTATTGATTGTTGGTATAATTGTGTAGTAATTTATGCAAGAAAACTATGTTTATTTTAACCATTTCATAAAATATTTGAAATTACGACAATTGGGTTGTTTAGCTTCGAAAAATATACAGATTTCTATACATCATCTGATAGAGCTTCGTTTTCTAAACACAACGATATTTTTATCAATCCCGTAGACATTCATCTCGATTTTTAAAGCAAGATTTAAATTTTTGATCGTTGACACTAAATCTATTCGTTGATAGCTCGTTCCCATACAAATTCCCACCAAGGGGCGCTAAGATGGTGATTTTTGCTAATGTAATCTTACTTATTTAAAATAGTTCCAGTGTACCAAAATTGATGAAATTTTGGATTTCGGTTCCATTTTTAATGCAGATAACGAATATGTATTTATCTCAATACCCCTAAACAACCCAATTCGCTTGCAGATAGTCACAATTAGTGATTTTACGACTCGCGAGCGCTCACTTTGAGTGAACGTTCACGAATCATAAAATCGCTGAATGTGACATTCTGAAAGCGAAATTGACAGGTTTTATGAGTCAAACACTTGCCTTTCAAAATCTTCTTGTATCTAACAAGTACAATTTTTTTTTGCCGGCGCCGGTGGTGTAGTGGTAAGCGTGACTGCTTTCTAACACCCCAATGGGTCTGGGTTCTTCTTCTTCTTCTTTCATTTATTTAACGTCGGTCTCTGTGCCTCAATCTAGTGACAATCACCGACGGACATCGATTGCCATCCATTGACGGCAATCGAATGTGCAGGAAGGCAGCTTCCACACCTGCGTAGGATATCGCACCCATTCAACACACATGGGCCGGGACCAACGGCTTTACTTCCCTTCCGAAGGAAGACGTGACCAGAGATTTTTATGCCTCAGAAAAATCCCACCGACCTCGGCTGGGATTGAACCCAGACCCAGCCGGCGCCTGTGGTGTAGTGGTAAGCGTGACTGCTTTCTAACGCCCCGATGGGTCTGGGTTCAATCTCAGCCGAGGTCGGTGGGATTTTTCTGAGGCATAAAAATCTCTGGTCACGTCTTCCTTCGGAAGGGAAGTAAAGCCGTTGGTCCCGGCCCATGTGTGTTGAATGGGTGCGATATTCTACGCAGGTGTGGAAGCTGCCTTCCTGCACATTCGGTTGCCGTCAATGGATGGCAATCGATGTCCGTCGGTGATTGGCACTAGATTGCGGAACAGAGACCGACGTTAAATAAAGGAAAAAAAAGTACAAATTTTTATTACAACATCTAATGATTTCAAAATACCGAAAATATTTTTTTATAGCAAGTCTTTGTAGCAAGTGAGTGGAAGCAACCCATTATTTTTAAGGTCCACTTAAAAAAAAACCATAATAAGGTTAAAACTTTATCACACAAACGTTCATGTAATGTTTCAAAACCATTTCAGTTAAAGTTTAGCAGGGGTTATAAACAATTTTTAACCATTTTCGGTAAGGTCAAGTTATGGTTCGCGTTTATGCGGGTTCTCCGTCGACAACGCCAAGAAACATATATTCCTCAAAAATTACTTTTCCGTTTTCTTTTCAGCTGTGTACCAACAGCAATCAATACGAAACTATCGATTTTAAATTGGCTCACTACTTGACTAGTCTATTGGTCCCAAGCAAATTGATTAACGTACCCCATTCTAGTCGAAATTCTGTGGAAACAATGCTCTAACATTAATATTTATTGTCGACAATAAAAATTATTGTTATAATGTTGTACCCTTCCGAAAACGGCAAAAGTGCTACCTACACGGATAGAAATCTCCTTATACCTTTTGGCAAATTTCCATTGCTGAGTATTCATAAAATGTATAAGTCAACTAATAAGCAGACGCCTTGCAAAAAGTTAATAAAGATCATGTGTCAAATGAAATGTATAAGCGGTCACACATACCTTTCATGCATTCTAATACGACCTATGTGGTTTGTTTTATGGAATGTATAAGGCTGATGCTTTGGCAAAAATGTATAAGTGAAACACACACACCACCAAGGAGGCGTGACCTAGGGAGATCGAGTTCAGGGGAGTTGGCCTGAATTTCTCACAAGTTCCGGATCAAATCTCAATCCAAAACCAGTAAAAAAAAGGACTCACCCGTAACAGACACACACGGATAGAAATCTCCTTATACCTTTTGGCAAATTTCTATTGCTGATAATTCATAAAATGTATAAGTCAACTAATAAGCAGACATTCGACAGCCATTACTCGTATTCATCGGACGTATTGTCTTTCTGCTCTGCTTAACTTGGTGAAATATTGTAGCGAAAATGAGTGTAGTTCGTAAAAACACACTTGTTGTTGACTTCAGTGTCCTTCCAGTTCGTCCCAATGCGGGAAAAGTGCAAAAATTCTTCGAGAACAATATTAAGCTTCAATATTCGGACCACAGACAAACAGACGTAACTCTTTGAAAAGGTTTTTCTTGAAAACATAATATACCAAAACATAGTACCTCAGTAGCGACATCTCTCGGACTTCTCGCGGAAAACAAGCTTGCACGCTAACTGACAAACAATATTGCATAAAAGTTCTATAGAATGTATAGAAACGTCAAAGTGATTCCATGCCAGCGCTGCGGCGAGTAGTTCACGGAACTTATAATATTCAAATCAACCGTTAAATGCGTAAACGATGATACACAATGAAGAGTTACGTCTGTTTGTCTGTGTTCGGAAGTTAGATGCATTCAGTTTCATAACGTCCGAAATTGTGTTTTTATTGAGATGATAGACAATGAAGTTGCCTTGCGCTATGAAAAGGCGCACAACTATAAACACGCGATTCTCTGTGCGAAGAGTGAGTTCAAAATCCCGGTATATCCCGGTGGATTGTGAAGCAGTGACCGTTCGAGTGCATGATCTTCCTCTGGCATGGCCACAAGCCACTGTTATGAACCACATGGCAAAGTACGGGACAGTGATTTCCAGTCGACATGAGAAATGGAAGCACTACTTCCCAGGATTCATGAGCGGTGTTCGAGTTTTGCGAATGCGACTCGAATGCGCCATTCCATCGTACATCACGGTCGACAACGAAACAACGTTGGTAACGTATGACAAGCAACCAAAAACGTGCCGCCATTGTGACCGAGCAGCACATCCCAAACAGAAATGTTTGGATGTAGCCACATCGAACAATAGCACCGCTCCAGCAGCTCCACCAACCGAGGGGGTATTCAGTCTCGATGATTTCCCGTCGATTGATATCGAACAAAACCAGCCAACGACATCGGGTCAATCATCTCCTGCTTTCACCGGGTTCTCAGCAGAAGAACAACAGCGAAACACCGACAATCAAACCGAGGATCATCACACTTCAAGCAACGACGAAAACTCTAGCACCAGCTCATCAAACGCACCAAAGGATTTCAATGAAAATACCAGCAAACGCCGGCTGTCGAAACTCAAGGAGAACGAAAAAAAGAAAGTTCGTGCTGATCAGTGCACCCAGAAGACTGGTCAGCAAATAGATCGTTTAGATGAAAATAATGCAACTTATCAAATAGGGGATAATACGTTTTATTTGAAAAATAAAAGCGGGAAGGGATCTCCTTGTAAATAATAGTCATCGGCCCAAACAATGCCTAATAGGCGAGGGGGCCTTATAAATAAACGCAAAAAAAAAAAAAAAACTAATAAGCAGACGCCTTGCAAAAAGTTAATGAAGATCATGCGTCAAATGAAATGTATAAGCGGTCACACATACCTTTTATGCATTATTATAGGACCTATGTGGTTTGTCTTATGGAATGTATAAGACTGATGTTTTGGCAAAAATGTATAAGTGAAACACATGGATAAAATAATTGATTTTCGTTTCGGGTACTACCCCCTTCCCTTCCCGGGGCGATGTTTTATTTTTTCGATTTTTTTATAAAGTCGATAAAGTAGATCTGTCCAGCCAACACATACACTCTAAAGTACACTGTTATTTTTTTAATCAATAAATCCGCCAACCAACAGTAAAATAACAATAATATATACTGTTATTGAAAAAAAAATATATGGGGAAAAATTCATTGTTAAGATACTTAACCCCCCCTTTTTTATTGTAAATTTTCCATTTACCATGAAATTTACTGTTTAGTACAACATAAATCAAGGTAAGTTTATTGTAGACGTAACAATATAAATCATTGTTAAGACCAGGGGAAACGACACTCATTCAGATGCATTCTATTTTACCATGCTTGCCTGTAAAAATAATGTAATTGAAGAGAGTTTTTTGAATTTGTCATTTGACGAAAATTGAGTAAGGATAAAAAAAATATATGGGATTCCTAATGGGATTGCATTGAATGCGAGGGTGCTTTAAATTGTCATGGGGATGCGTGCAACTTAAATGAAACAGTACGAAAGGAAAACATCGAAGTAGCCATTTTAGTCAATACTCAGTGAAAAATAATGTTTGGATGGTGACAGCTGGACTATAAAAGCCCTCTACTATTGATACTATTGAATTTTTGAAAGCCAGCAGAAGCGGCAACAGCTGCAGGAATAGCAGCATCGCGGATTCGTGTAGCCGTTACCGAGGCTGGAAACCTCGGTCCGGTCTCGATAGTGTGATCTTCACAACCGATTTGCAATTCTCGACAAATAAACTTAAAAATTCTACCCTGAATTTGAACTCACAAAAGTGACTTGGAGTGAAAGTCTAAAATCTCTTAGAGCGCTTTCTAAAACTACCTTTAAGGTGGTTCCTCGTAGAGTCCACAAATGGCCGCCACGTAGACTATACATGCACTTCCACCTCGAATTTTCTATTACACAAATCTCGGGAATCAGTGCCCCATTTCATTTGAAATTGCTACTTCATGTATGCTGAAGTGCAGCAAACGTAGAGTAACAATTTAAATGTTGCACGTGCGTAGAAGCTGATATTTGTGCACTTAAAGTTTCGAAGTGGTTACGAGAATAAGGATGTCACAGCGAATCACCTTAATGTCACCTGAAATGACTTGTTATCTCTGACATTCATTCTAAAATCTACTCAAAATTCCAAAAAAAGTTTAGTCTGGTCCAAGAATCTTAAAACTTTTCAAAGCCTTGATGAAGTAATTATTTCCCCGATTTGTCATTAAAATTCCTGGCTTTTTCCCGATTTCCCGGTTCACTGGTCATCCTGCTCATCCCACACCTACCCTATAATATTCGATCGACTCTCCACAAATGAGAGAGCGAGATATATCGTCAGATTCGTGCAATACTGGCACCACTCAAAATCTGTGAATTTTCACATTCAACGTTTGAAAATTTGAGGTTCAGTTTCAATTTTATGATTCTTTTCATTTCCATTGGACTGAATCGAGTGTGTTTCATTAATTCTTTCAAATTCAGATTAAAAAATAAACAGTTTAACGATTTTTACTGCTTCTTATTTCAGATGTTCTCATTTGTCAATCGAGAAATCACTTCATCCTTGGCCTTCAGCATAGATATACGTGGTGGTTACCTTCGTACTATTCATTCCCTAATTCATTTCCACCAGCTTCGCCAGGACAATCGCCACCTTGAACGACTCAACGAATATCAAATTGTTTTAACACCATGTTTATTATGGAGATCGTTGAAAACTGACAGTGCTTCGCGATCGACCTGAAAACTGCACGGCTTGCTTGATGATTTGTGTGCATGCAGAAGGGATAAGTTGGGAATAGAAAGAATAGATAGGATGGATTGAAATTTTGTGCACGTTGAAAATGTTAGGAGTGTTTTGGGTAAAAATTGGATAATCCTGAAGTGTCGTCCCCCCTGGTTAAGACAATAATTTTCGTCTTATTGTTACATTGTTTTTTAATGTATTTTTGTTGTTATTTTTTTTCAGGTACACTCTAATACAAAAATACACAAAACTTATAAATACCGATATACGGAAAAATACAAAATGCTGAAAAGGTGCGGGTTGATGAATCGAAAATTCTCAAGTTGACAGCCCCTCGCTTGGGACCGAAGTACCAGAGCTGAGCCAAAAACTTGAGCACTTTTCTTCGGGACCTACTAGCAACAATCAATCGAGGGGTGAATCGATTAGCTTGGGACCGAAGAGAGTACCAGCATAGAGGTAGCTCTAAGACCAGAAGGTCCCGAAGATACGTGCTCAACTTTTTGGCTAAGCTCTGGTACTATCGTCGGTCCCAAGCTAATCGATGCACCCCTCGAAACATAGGAAAATCCACAAACCCCTCATTTTATCTGTCAAACTTTCATAGTGAATCAAAACAAACATTGTGTAGTACTAGAATGCGATACGTTAATCGATTTGTTTGGGACCATAGCAAAGATGAATACTAAGATGAAACTGTCGGAAGAAAAACTTTCTATTTTAGTGTCCTCTTTCACGGTCCCTTTCATCCAATGAGAACCCCCCGTATTCAAGGTAATTTTGTGGTTTTGCTACCCCCTCGGAAGAGATGAAATTTACGCTCATTTTTATCAAAACAATCACACCAAAATCAGAGGTGTGCCATTTTTTAATTACTCGATTAACAACTAATCGATTATTTTTTGTTCGCTGTGCTGCCGTTTTTCCACCAATGAGAGTGCAGCACATGTTTGAAACGATCGGTGATGATCCTGTGGAGATGTTAATGCTTATATCGGCATGATCTAACCGATTATAAATAGTTTACTTTTCGGTTCGTTAATCGATTAAACGATTATTCGAATGAAAATCGGACATCACTAGATGAATGTGAAACGTCATTTCAAATATAAGGCCGTTCATAAATTATGATACAATTTGAAAGGGACCGGGGCTAATCACAAATTACGTCTCCATGGTAACTGAAATAAACACGAGTGTTCACCGGTTGACCATAGTGTCATACACAGCAAAAAAAATGTAATATCGATCAATGTAATTCAAGCTGATGTATGAAATAATGATGTAATAGCAAAAAGCAGATACAATATTACATCAATGGATGTAATTTTGTTCGCAAAATCGATGTACATCGTACAATGTGATATTACACAGCCGATGGATTGACCTGGTAGCAGCAGTTTCGATGTAATATTCAACAACTTTTTTTTCTGTGTAGTCAAGTAGTGAGCCAATTTAAAATCGTTAGTTTCCACCCGTTGTCAATACCCTTATAAAGAACCCAATTGGTTCAATCACTTTCTATGGCAATCGCTGTGGGCTAAGCATTTACCTGGTCTTTCTTCAGTGCTTCTTCTACTTGGAAGAGATTACTGTCAGGTTCGCTTCCCTGCACAAATTGAACAACCCCTTGTCGGGTTGTTGATTTCTATTCGTTTTATTTCTCAAAAAAGCGGCATCAGTTTTTCGGGTTTTCTTCTCTGTGATTCACTGCTAGTTTCGTGAACAAACTAAAGTTTTATTATTGATCAAAATGAGTGACGGTAAGTATACATCGCATCGAAATATGATGAAATTCAGGAGACTTTGTTTGAAATTGCCATTGCCCCTTATCCTTAATTTATAGGCAAACCACTGAACGAATCGAAAATGGAGGAAGACCGTCCTGATACACCGGAACCAGCAGAGGTGCAAGAACCGGCACAGGAAGAAATCGAATTGGTAAAGATGGAGGATGTGATTACGATCGATCCCGAAGCGACCGATGTCGATCTGAACCACGGGAGAATTGGGAAAATCGAGAATCTGGAGCCGCTAGTAAAACTGGAAAGGTATGTCTATAGGTCAATATTGATTGCGCAAAATTGGAAATATTTCTTGTAAAATATAGACTCTATTTACGTTGGAATTTGATCAAGAAAATCGAAAACTTGGAACATCAGACAACGTTGCAGGAATTGGAACTGTACGATAATCAAATAACGAAGCTGGAAAACCTGGACAACCTGGTCAACTTGGAGTAAGTTGATGATTCTTTGTCCAACAGGAAAAAGGTATTTGTTATATGATTGTATCTTTTAGGGTGCTAGATGTAAGCTTCAACCGCATTCACAAGATTGAGAATCTGGATCGGTTGGTCAAACTGTGCAAATTGTACTTGTGTTCGAATAAGATATCAGTAATTGAAAATATCGGTCATTTGAGCAACTTGACCATGTTGGAGTTGGGTGACAATAAGCTAAGGGTAAGATAATTAAGGAGGGCTGACAGACTGACAGTGTAGAATGTAGATAATCTAACAAACTGGTGTACTATTGTAGAAAATTCAACATCTTGAATCATTGACCAACTTGACCCAGTTATACTTGGGAAAGAACAAGATCACCAAGATCGAAAACCTGGACCAGCTGGTCAACCTGGAGTGCCTAAGTTTGCAGAACAATCGAATTGTAAAGATTGAAAACTTGGACAAGCTTGTGAATCTTACGGAGTTGTACCTGTCCGAAAATGGTATCGAGAGGATTGAAAATCTGGACCACAACAAGCAGCTGGATACACTGGATCTGGCTAAAAATCGCATTTCAATGATTGAGAATGTGGGACATTTTGAGTGCTTGGAAGAATTTTGGGTGAGCATTGCTTGGGGTATAGCTTCATTTGGGGGCCTACATTTGATGGTAAACATTTTCTCTTACAGATGAACGACAACTCCGTTTCGGACTGGAGTTGCGTGAATGCATTGGCATCCAATAAAAAATTGGCCACCGTCTACCTGGAGCGCAATCCAATAGCATCAGATAGCACGTACCGCAACAAGCTGAAGCTGGCAGTTCCATGGTTGACGAAGATCGACGCTACATTGTGTCGCTGAGCTTTTGAACCAACAGTTAAATAAAGGTACACATCATGGAGCGAGAAGAGAGAAAAGCTTCTAATTACTTAAATGTGAATTAAAATCTGGCAATTATGTATTGATCAGTTGGCGAACTATAGCAATAGAATAATTTCTTATATGTATTACTTTGTCAGTTAATTGCCACTCAATATAACAACTAGTTAAAGAAAAGGATTTATATGAAAGCTTACGACGTTGGATGACACTACCGTGAGATAATTTCTGGTTTATACTTGTCTTGGGATTTAGACGATTAAATTCTGAACGCAGAACTCAATTTAAATGCGAATTAAACGTCGCCCAGATATTGGTCGATATACAACTCCTTGTTCTGATCGTTTCCAAGTCACTTGAACGTCGACCACCGACTAGCAGGATTGTTCGGAAAAATCACAAAGCATTAATTTCGATGAGGTTCTATTCTTGATTGACTTCCTTACTCTCTTAACCTAGTCGTATCGTAATAAAGCTGTCGAGAAATACATTCATACCTACACGCACAACGAACCCGCGTCAAGCCATCCATTGTAAAAATAACTTCGAACTCAAGGCAGCTTCTGATATCAAATATTACGATACTCACCCGTCCCATAGTGCTTTAGCCCTCCATTGCTTTCCTCGTCGCCCAGAAACTCGTCAAACTGAGTCTTGTGGGACATGAGAAGTTCTCGCTTCGGCCGCATGATACCTTTGACGTCGTTCAGACTTATGTCCAGCTCACGGAAGGCATTCAACAGGATCACTGCCGCAATCACGACAAAAAATCCGCACAGATCGCCGATGATGTCCTCGGCTTTCATACGGCCCCACTCTTTGAACAGGATGGCCGATGCCGTTATGACAAGTGTGGTGAAGATCACGTAGTAGATGGGCGTCACAATGCTGGCGTTAAAGATGTCCAGGGCTTTGTTTAGGTAGTTTACCTGGATGCCGACGAAGATGACAGTGATCAGGATCAGAAAGTACGGAAGCCACATTCCGAAGTCATTCGATTTGCCGGAGATCGTGTCTCGCAGAGCCAACCCAAGGGCCTTGCAAGACATAACGGTTAGGCTTCCGATGGCCGAGCAGAGTAGTATGTAGACTATTACGTTTTTGTGACCATAGCGTGGTCCACAACAGCATCCAATGAACAAGGACATAGATAGGACGATTACCACGTATGTAATGAAGGTGGGATCCTGCAGTTTGTCTAACAGCAGGTTTAGGTCATCGATTTCGCCTTCCTTGGGCGAATGAATGACGATAATCGTTGAACCGATTATGCACAGGAAACATCCGAGTTTCCCCAGTAGATTCAGTCTTTCTTTTAAAAATCTGGAAGCTAACACTGCCGTTACGATGACGCTAAGGGCTCCAAGAGGCGTAACCAGCGAGGCCGGCGCAAAGGCATAGGCAGCAAAATTGGCCGCTTCGCCTATACCCACTGTGGAAGGGAAGGTAAAAACCATAAACATTGGTTATAGAGTCGCAATAAGTGGTCATATTTTTAGGCGATCCCTCATCAGCGACATCGAGTGTTCGTTCTTGCCTTTTGATGCGTGGGTTATAGGTCAGAATAGTCACTAATATATGATAATTGTCTCTATTAGTCAACGCATATATGGATGTATGTAGATTCAATTATCGCGTGGCTTCGTTATCAGCATCAGCACAGGCGCAGCCAAGAGTGTGATTGTTTGATTCATTCGACTAACGACGATACCCAATAATGGAACTACGAACGATGGGTGATTCATAACAAACAACCCAGCTATTACTATTACTAGTATTACGTATTACTTACTGCAAATCAGACCAGCCCACCAGATCCAATCTTTTAAGTAGCCGAAACCGCCGGCACTGGCCCGCACGGAACCGACCCGAGATAACCGTATCAGGCCGATTTTCTTGATGATGAAGCTGGAACCGATGAAGAAACTGCTGGACAGTGCTAGCGAAAGGCCTATGTAGAAGTCTTGCTGGTTGTACAGCGCGTCCACTGGTTCACGCGGTGACGGCATCTTCACGTTGTTCAACCTCGGAAATAATAAGATCAGCAGAAAGATTTTTGTTCACACCAAAAAGGACGACGAGAACAGAAGCTTTGATTTTGGTCACCAAACTTTTCCTTGAACCATTACTGCTACTGATCACACTGGAATGGTTTAATTCAGAAGCTTATGCGTGACGTCTAGCGGTTCACAGATAAGGATTTTTTTTTTGTATTTTTTTAACTATTTTGCCTCGCGTTTTTTCCTATTTACTATCAGCGATGCTGTTATCGGACTTCCCTTGATAATTTTACTAGTTTTTGTGTGTTTACTTTTTCAGCTCGAGCGACGTTTGACGTTGATTGGAAATTATTGCGCTACTTTGGACGACTTCTCTGAAGAAATAAAGGCCAGGTAATTTCAGACTGAGCTGTCAAAAAAGTTCCGGCTCTTGTCGTCGGTTGATCATCAGCCAGAGAAGAGCAAAAACACAACTCAGCGGTTCTTCCCTCGATTTGTGCTGAAGCAATTAAAAATTTCCTTAGATTTTCTTGATAATTCACCGGAGATTTTGACGTCGAACAATGTCCGACATTCAGACGCTAGTTGACATGGGATTTCCCAAAGAGAGAGCGTAAGTAATTACCTTTTTTTTTTGTTTATCCAAAAGTGCCTAACATCCTCATGGAAAACGTTTTCTAGTGAACGGGCCCTTCAGGTGACCAACAACAAGGGTGTGGAAGCGGCCATGGAGTGGTTGCTGGCCCATGCCGACGAGGACATTCCATCGAGTAGCGGCTCGTCTTCATCGGTACAGCAGCAACCACTGTCCGATGATACTTCGACGGAAGCAGCCGCCATCGCCGCCGCCGCTTCCACCGCCAGCGACGACTCCGCCCAAGTGGCCAAGTCGCTCAAGTGCGATGAGTGCGGAAAACTGTTCAAATCCCAGGACGAGGTTGAGTTCCATGCAGCCAAAACGCAGCACAGTAGTTTTTCGGAATCGACCGAGGAGAAGAAACCGCTGACGGAGGAGGAGAGGAAAGCTCAACTGGCACTGCTGGAGGAGAAGATGAAGCGGAAACGCCAGGAGCGGGAGGATAACGACAAGAAGGAGGCACAGGAGCGGGAACGGTTGCGAATCAAGTCGGGCAAGGATATGCTGGAAGCAAAGCGTAAGCTCGAGGAGACCGAAATGAAGAAAGTAATGGACCAGCGACGACGCGAAAAAATGGAGGAGAAAGCGGCCAGGGATAGGGTGAAGGCGCAAATCGAATCGGACAAGGCGGCAAGGAAGGCAAAAATGTCAGGGTAAGTAGGAATTATTTTACGCCTTTCGGTATTCCTCAAATTGCTCTTCGAGTTTGAGCGCCTGCAAATATGTAAGGGTACCTAGGGCTTAGCACATTATTGAGTTACGCCTAAAAGTAGGGGTTTGGTGTGAAGTGCCGTGCCGGTAATTGCTTCGCCATTACTTTTCTTATTTTGCGCTTTGTTAATTTTTAATAAAAAAAATATTGAATAATGTTAATTTTGGGGTGAAATTGATTCACCCGCGAATAGCCAAATGCCTGGATTTGAGAGTAAAAATCTAAATTAATTGGATTAAAATGTCAAGGGCGAGCATGTTGCTATGCATCACCAGTTTATCGATTACTAAATGATATGGTTTAGACAAGTTGATGGCTTAAATGCAAGGAATCGACAGTGAGCATGCATAAGGGCCTATACGCGATGATCGATTCTCTTCGTCGATTTTCTCTTTTGTTAATAACTCGCTAGATTTCAAGTTTCTCGGTGCGTTTGCTATTGCTTTTGATAGCCAATACAACCTGTTACTACTCTGCATTGAACAAATTCTGAAAATTGTTTCGCTTAGCTGTAGCAATGCAAAGAGAAAGTCGATGAAGAGAATCGATCATTGCGTATTCGCCCTTATGCATTCTCACTGTCGATTTTCTCTTTGCTACAGCAGTCTGTGCTAGTCTTGCTTTGAATAAAATTTGGTAAAGAATGATTAAAATTGAAATTTATAATAGGGCCAATCAGGGAACCACTGGCTAAAAACTGACATACTTACCTAATATGTAGAAATTTCTATCTGTTCGATGAAATTATTGCCGGCATTTTTCTCGAAAAATGTTCTACTTTTGTGAAAATCAACATTTTTCCGTTTTCTGCAACAACCGAAATGTCCGTAATAGCGACATCTGTTGCGAAAATCAACGATAATCCATTCAAACAATAATATCCACCGATTCGATATACACGCTATGATACACATACCTTAAAGTCGGTAAAGAATACCTAGATATCGGTAAAAATTAGTGATAATCTAAAAAAGTGCACATACCTAAATTATCGGTAATCATGGATTACCAATAATTAACGATAAAAATTACCTAATTTATAGTAAAAATAGCTTACTTAAAGTAAAAAGTAACGATTTTTATCGGTAAAAAATACCGATAATTATAGGTAACCGTAGCTAAGAGTGTAGATAGAGAAACATCTTTATCATACTACCGGAGCAAGAGAAATGAATGCGCCAAATCGTTCGAGACGCCAAGAAGCACAGCTGAGAAGAATTCCTTAATGGTATTAATGAAAACCAATCGGCAGCTGATCTCTGGGGAAGGATCACTACCACGCCAACTCAGCCAACTATACCACGCCAACTCAGCCAAGATCCTGCAGTAATCGACGAGGTACTTGGTGATCATTTCGCTATGTTATCTGCGATTTCGGGCTATGACGAACGCTTTCGACGACAGAAAGGAGCATCGTCAACATCCATTGCCGAAATTCAAATACTGATAGAAGAAACCCCATCGGAGCTCAACCAGCCCTTCCGGCTGGACGAGCTTGAACATGCTCTCTCCAAAGGCAGGGGGAAATCCGCGGGTCCTGACGAGCTGGGCTATCCTCTGTTACGAAACCTTCCCGCTGAAGGTAAGGTAACATTACTCGAATTGATTAACCATGAATGGGGAAACGACTCACTGCCCCAAGCTTGGAAGCACAGCCTGGTCGTTCCTATCCAGAAGCAGGGTTCTTCCGGTCGAGAAGCCAAGGATTTCCGACCCATCTCCCTCACCTGTTGTGCGGCAAAGATCACCGAGAGAATGGTTAACCGAAGATTGATGTACTTCCTTGAATCACGGAATCTTCTTGACCATCGGCAACATGCGTTTCGCCCGGGACACGGTACAATTCTTTTGTGCTTTAGCATAGCTCTCGATATTTCTAAAGCCTATAACAGAGCCTGGATGCCGAAAGTCATACGCCAGGTGGAATGGCGTCTGGGTGGGCACATACTTTATTTTGTAAAGAACTTCCTTCTTAATCGCACCTTTCAAGTTATTCTGGGCAACCATCGATTCAAGACATTCCGGGGGAGACTGGAGTGCCGCAGGGGTCGGTGATAGCAGTCACCTTGTTCCTCATTCGCATGAACAACATCTACAGTGGTCTCCCCAAGGAGATACACATTTTCGTATACGCCGACGACATCGTTCTCGTTACCATCAGTGATACCGTTAAGGCGCTCCGTCGGAAGATGGGTGCGGCTACCAGGGCAGTATCATTGTGGGCATCGTCCGCCGGAGCTCCCTTATTCACATTTGTACCCATCATCACCGTCCTCTCAGCACCCCTATCTACATCGACGGAACCGCTGTCCCGTTAAAAAAAAAAACAGTTCGCGTCCTAGGGGTTCGTCTTGATCAGCATCTGACTTTCACTGCACATTTCGATGACGTCAAAAGCGGTTGCAAAACCAGACTGAATCTTCTCCGTTCTATCGCTGGACGGCACCCTGACAGTAACCGGTCCACCCGGCTCCGTGTTGCCAGAGCAATTCTCGAGTCGCGTCTTTTCTACGGCATCAAAATCATTTGTCTCGCCCGCGATATGCTAATCTCCAAACTCGCTCTCACGTATCGAGAAGCTATCCGTATTTGTTCGGGTCATCTTCCGTCCACACCTAACGTGGCAACCTGCATCGAGAGTGGAATGCTTCCTTTCGACCGACTGACCACACAAACTATCTGTAAGCGGGCAATAACTTTCGCCGAGAAGACAGTTGGCCCTGACGAGGGAGTTTTCCTCCTCACCGAGGCAAAACTACTCTTTTCTGCAACTGCCAATCTGGAGCAACCTGGTGCGGAGCCAGGGGTTGGAGCCTGCCCAGACCCGCAATTGACTTGGCAAGTAAGAAGAAGTTTGGGGCAGCATCCCCACTAGTGCAGAACTTCAACGAACCGTATACAACGGTCATACAATCCGATATTCCGACGGCTCTGCAGCCCGCGGGCGTGTCGGTATAGGTATTACAGACTCAAATGTATGTATGCCACCGGCTACCGGACCAGTACTCCGTCTTTTCGGCAGAGGCTGCCGCTGCTTTCATCGCTGCCACTACACCATCCAGCAGACCAATCGTGGTTTTCACGGATTCCGCCAGTGTAGTCGAGGCCCTCGGATCGGACATTTACAAGCATCCCTGGATCCAGAGTATTCAGAAATACGCACCCAACAACACCGGGCGATAGTTCAATCCCACGCAATACCATCGACCCAGTTTTAAATTATCTGATCAACTCAGAAGTGCATATCCTCAAAGATATAATCCAAGCCGATCGTATCGCCTACCTTTCAAACCTACCAAACTACGATCTTATTAAGTTGTGGTACCTTCCCACCACCGATGAAAACTATCAAACATATCCCCCTTGAAGATCTATCTTACTTCGGAAATAGGATTCTCGTCCACCACAGACTTCAGCGGAAGCGCTTTATCCGGCGCCTGTACCCAAGTAACGACCAAGCCCGCTACCTATCGGATAATCGACCTTTTTGCGATATAAGGTAAATATAGGGTTTCCGAATTTAATATTGCGAAATTGCAAAAAAAAAGGGCGAATAGCCGAGCAAAGTCCAGCATCAAAATGACAGCAAATTGAAATCAAGTTTTGATATCAACATCAAACTGAAATCATAATTTGATTTCAGTTTCGCAATTCACAAATTTGATTGGGGAATTTACGTATTCTCGTCAATCTAAGCAGCGTCCGCACTTCTATTAGCATTGTGTCAGCGTTACGCACATATATCACGTGTCTGTTTGTTAACATTCATCTGCTGCTTGCTTCTCTATCCATTCCAATCGACAGAATTTTTCAAACCGGTTTGAAAGCGATTTTACAACGCTCCAAACTTCTCAGGTGAGTGTGACTATTGTCGGCAGTCTCTTTTTCTTCGGCAACCTTCCCATTAGAACTGCGTATTAACCAGCTGTTCTATTATCGGCAACTCGAAATCAGCCCCATTTTGTAGTGCGTATACTTCATTTGAAGAAAAATCTGGCATAATAGGATTGCTCGGTCGTACAAATATAATCAGATTGAAGCTGAAAGACTAAAGAATCGTTTGAATACATTCAGGGAAGTGTGTTGATGGGAAAACATAGTGAAATTATCGTTTAAATTTTGGTTGCCGAAAACAGTCAATGGGTGCCGAAGCCAACATTTACCCTACCAAATTTTGTTTTCATTTTGCTGTACATTTGCTCTTCAAAAATATGTTGCTGCGGGTTTGTTTTCACTGCCTTAGCATAACATCAAATTGAATAGGGGAATTTACGTATTCTCGGCAACCTAAGCAGCGACCTTCTTTCTATAGCCTTTTTCTCTAAGGAACGCACACATATGCAGTATTGGTTTGTTTACAATCTTTTGCTGCCAGCTGCTCTAACAATTTCAGTCGAAAGAATTGTCAAAAACTGTTTTGAAACGCTTTTACAAAGCTCCACTCTTCTCTAGTGAGAGCGAGTATTGTCGGCAACCAGTTTTTCTTCGGCAACCGTTCCATTTGAACTGCAGGGGGAGAGGTAGCTCATCGATTCTTCCGGTTCGCCTCCTAGCATCGTGCTATAAGGTACCAGGCGATAACCAGGGTAGTTGATCGATAGCTCGATGACGTCATTTCGTTGACGTATGCAATGGGAAATTCTCATAGTAGGCGTTGACGATGGGACGTTGTCGAGTTGTTGAATAGCAACTATCGTGGTAACTCACCGATTACCTGTCGATCTGCCAAATTTGGAAAGACGTCTGCATTGAATTGTCTCATATAATAATATTCCGCCCACTATATCACAAGAAACTGCGAGTAGCTGAGTGGAATGGAGATAAGTTAAGCATTGGGAACAGGACCAAGTCTCCCCTGGGTGGTGCCAAAAGATGAGCGCAATAGAATCATCAAGTTGCCATAAGGCACGGAATGAGACTATTGCATGGCTGGGTAGTCAA